AGCTGCCAAGTTTGGAAAACACTGCTCTACATCCATGTGGATTGGATTTTAACTTCCACGGTCCCACCCACTGGCATAACCAGTAGGGATTTCTGTCTCAAATGTCTTGCTGTATTTATCCCATACCTGATCTTTGTCAAGAAGGTGGAATTCAAAGCCACTCCACAATCTCACCATGTTGTGGTATAAATAAATTAAAGAGGAGCAGATTGGGGAAGGCTGGAGTAGAAACAGAAAACCTACTAGGTTCATGGTGTCCCCGGGGAGGGGGGAAACAGGACCTAGGACAAAAAGCATCATCACCCTCACACAATGCAGCTTCTGCCCCTTTCATAAACACGTCGTGAGATTCGTACACATGTATAAAAGGGGCTCATGACAGCTTGGTGGTGTGAAGTTCACCCTTTGGAGGAAAACGGTGAATCCTGCAGACACCTCTGGATGCTACAGCTGGAAGGGTGAAACATAACCAATACTTTGAGGCTGACCAGTGGTGACTGTGGGGTGGTCCAAAAGTCAAGATGGAATCACCCATAAAAAAAACAGCAGAGCTTCAGTTATACTGTCATGGCCACCACACATCTTGACTTTTTGGACCATACCAGAAGTGGACAGGACTTAACCTCAGGGCATTAAAGGGTGATTGTAGCCCTTCCCACACCTGGGCTGGGGGGCAAAAGAAAGGCAATACTGGGGTGCAAAGGGAGAGATTGCTGTTGTCAGGGTTCAGCCCATGTGAGGACAGAGGCTTGCAAATGCCCCACAGTCCAAAGCAAAGCAGAACCTCAGGAAAGCAGGAGAAGCAGTCTCAGCACCTTTGCATGGCCAGATCAGCTTCTCCAACCTGTGGCCCACCAGGTCTGCCAGAACGAGATCTCCCTGAGCTCACAAGCGCACCCCAGTCCTTCCTTCTCTTAGGTTCAGACACCCCTGTGGATTGGGGATGCTGGGAGCCGTAGTCCTACCACATCTGAAGAGGTACCGATGGGATGGGGGTGAAAGCATGGCTTATCCATCTGCCCTAAGACTGGCTTCCCACATTGCCTTCTCTCTAATTCATTCTTCTTCCTCATCTGTTTTCTGTTTTGTTTTGTTCTGTTCTTTTTCCAGTCCTGGGGCAAGATCTCAGTTGTAGCGGCCTTGTTTGGCCATCCAGATAGGAAACAGGAGACAAATGTATTTGTTTTATGCTGCAAAGGAAGAGAAAAACCCAACACATTCCTAGGGCAGCTTCAAAGGTTCCGTTGCAGAGCCCAAAGCAATGGAATCTCTGGCAAATTCTCATTCACGAGGAATTGTGTAACTCTGCTTGAGTGAAGGGAGGCCATGCTGCCAAGCTGTTCTGGCCCAGGACGTCTTCTTTCTGCTTTCATCCAGAATTGATTGCCCAGATATCTTCAAAGCTGGTGAGATGCCTTCAACCGCTGTTGCAAAAAGCCACAAGCATACATATCAGCCATGGAGGTGTTTCTTTAGGACCACCAAGGGGCTTCTGGGGTATGTGTGTGTGAAGACAGTGGCCACAACCACATGTCTGAAGCTGCCATCTTGACTTTTTTGACCTACTCCCCTACCAGTTTCAGTGAGATGGTATGAAATGTCAAGAAAGGCTTAACTCAAAACAAAAGGAATGATTGACAGCAGGAAAAAAGGCTGCACACCAAGGCTGGTGTGCTTAGTGGCATTGTATATCTGCTTTGTTGTTGGTTGCACGCTTTGGCTGGTTGTGCAGCTCTAGTGGAAGTGGAGCCTCCAGCATTGACGGGTTGAAATTAGCCGGTCTGCTTTGGATTCAAACACTACTGCTGAACGTCTGATGAACGTTCCAGCAGGTCAGAGCAACGGCAATGAAAGCAATGAAAAGATGTTCACGGCTCAGCTTCTGGGGGAAGCAGACATGTCTGCTTGGCTGAGCACAAGATTAAAGTTGAAAATCAGTTTGTTTATTTGTTTATTTATTTATTAAATTTCTCACCCACCCATCTCCCCCCAATGGGGGAACTCTGGTTACTAGAAGTCCTTGGAAGTGTTGGTTTGGTTTGTACCAAATTCCTTCAACCTTTAGTCTCAGGACTCGTTCCACACCAGCGAACATCATTCGGTTGAAATTAGAGTGCTCATATTTTATATTTATGTGTGTCAGCCCATCAAGGTAGGCCAGGTCAGGAAACAGGCATGGCAGGCATTTCAGGAATGCTTTTTATTAGTGTTTCCCAACCTCAGCAACTTTAAGATGGGTGGACTTCCATTCCTAGAATTCCCTAGACAGCATGCTATAATTTCATTAATTACCAACTGTGCAAAAGGCTATTAATTACAATGGGTATCCTTCCTGGACAAGCATACTCTCTCCCCAGGAATAAAACAGTGTCTTCTACAAGCTGAAGAAATATAAGAGAAGGGACCTTATTTGAAGGGACTAAAGATCAAGATCGTTAAAAGTAAAAGAAAGGAATATAAAGTTGGTTTATTTGATCAAGGTTAAAATAGATAAGTTGTTACCTCTGGTAACCCTTAATGGGCTTTTGCTGGCATCAGGACTGAAATGATGAGGCTTTATGGATTTGTTTATAGATAAGAGATGGAGTATGGGAAGAAAAGTCATTTGTTGTATTTTAAGAGGAGGTGATACGTTACTAAAAATGGTTTATACTTGTGATGAAGGGGGAAGTCATTTCTTTATATATTTCTTTTCTTTCCTACAGTCTTATTTTTCTTTCTTTTCTATTTTTCTATTTTTTTCTTTTCTGCACTTTCCATTTTTTTCTTTTTTTCTTTTTCTTTTTTAGTTTGTATTAGTTTTTATCTTTCTAATTGTAATGTTTAATAAAATTATTATAAAAAAAAGAGAGGGTCTATCTAGGTGGTCACTGTGAGTTGGCCTTCTGGGAGTAGAAGTCCACCCTTCTTAAAACATCCTGGCCGAGGAATTCTGGGACTGAAAGTCCATCCATCTTAAATTTGCTGAGGCTGGGAATCACTGCTCTTTCTTGTAGAATAATAGTAACTTGAAAGCCTGCCCAAATTTCTCTCTCTCCCATCTTATATGATAGAAAGTCGATGTGGGGTTATTTTGAGTTTATTTCTCATGCTTCCCTCCTTCTTGGGACTGTGTAATATTTTCTCCAAGTCCCCTTTTAATCCCTCTTCCTTCTCCTTTCCCAAAGCCAGATCTACTTTCTCTCACAACACAGGAGTGACATGCACTATTTCCACAAAATCTCTCCGCCCGACCCCCAAGATTAGTCAGTCCTGACAGCACAGTGTCAGGTCTGCTCTCTTCTGACTCAAGATCTGACAGGTCTACCCAATAGTTGATGCAAAGAGCCTCCAAGGGTGTGCTCTCTATGCTGCCTTCAGCTTCTGGAGGAAAAGTAGGAACCGATATCTTCCATAGCAACAACTAAATCAACAACAGCCCATAACAGCATCAAAAGTCATCCCATGCACCCAAAACCTTTCTGCTCATCCAGACTTTGAGAGACATGGTGCCTCTGCATTTGGACGTTCACAGGACCACGATAGCTCCTCAGCAGCAGCAGAGGTCGCCTGCCCTCCAAACCACCAGTGGTGGTCCAAGCTGGTCTTCTGATTCTGGATCTCTTCTACTTTTTTTTCTGGGCTGGCAGTTGCCGGGGTGGGGATGGGATTAGGGGAAGGGAGTAGAACAGATCTCCTTTCCACGTTGCTCCCAACCATGACTGCAACACCAAGTGTGAGAAGTAGATTTTGGCCACATCCTGCTGGGTCCCAGATTGCCTTCATGTGCCCGGAGCAAACACACTCAGCATCACAACACCCTGGGAACAGTTCTTGTTTGCGAGGAAACATGACAAATTAAGAAATATAAGGAAATGCTTCCTGACATAATAACCTGGGCAACATTATGAATCTTTCCATCTTTTACAAGGGACCTCTCCATTTATCCAAACAAATTTCATGTAAACTTTTCAAGCGCTGCTGGTGGAGAGACAAACCTCACCTTTTGAGACCAATCAAAAGGTTCCCCCCAGGTCCCCTCGATCAGAAGATCCCCGTCCCCTCTAGAGTTTACAACTTCAAAGTCTGTTGGTGCTCACCAGCCAAAAATTGCCAGTTTGGAAGATTTTTTTTTCTTTTTTTCTGAAAGAAAAAGAAGTCTTGCTGGAAGTGGCATCAATACAGAGCAATTATGTTTAAACAAACAGCTGACATGGGGGGGTGGAATGGAATTGGAGTTGAAAAGCTTGCAAAAGTGAAATGAATGTGTCCAAGACGAAAATCAGAATGATTTGCCTTAAAAAAAACTAGGCAATTTATATTCAGATTTGGCAGAAAGGGCTGTATGTTATATGATCTTGCAGATGTCAACAGAAACATTTCTATAATTTTTAAAAAATATTAAAAATACAGAAAAAATGGAATCTGGTCCTGCAATGCATACAGTGAAGCAGATAAGTTGGGTTGGGTTGGGGCTTTTTTTAAAGCAATTTGCCCACCCATACTACTAATACTTATCATTTAATCATAATAAGAATTAGTAGTTCCTTAGTTAGACAAGAGTGCCCACAATTGGCTTTATGGCTGCATTCACTCAAGAATGCTAAATCCTAGGCCCAGATTAATCATACCCAACTTGCCTAAAGTAGTGATCCATGTGATGGCTTAACATGATGACCTGGTTCCCACAACATGCTAAAACAATAGCTGGGTTTCTGCAACACATTTTACTACAAATTGCCCAAAGTCACTTTGGCCTAGCTTACCATGTTGTGCAATCCCCCAAGTTCATTCACTAGAGCCAACTGGAATATAGTTATTCAAGAGGGTGACTTTTTTTCCCTGCTCCCCAAAATATAGGGGGGAAGGCTCACACAGAACACTTGTGAATCAAGATGACACCGCAGCTGATCTGCCAAAAATCCTGTTCCAAAGCAACATGTTAATAAACATTGCGCCTGAGAAGGGAAGAAAGATCTTATTAGGACAAGAACAATTTGAAATTTATTTGACTTGCTAGGGTTAAGTTACTGGGCAAGAGCAACCGGTGACAATATTCTGCAGAAATCTACCTGTACATTCAAGTCTAGCTTCTTTACAAGACGACAAACCCAGCCTCTTTCAAATCATTTTTGGAAGTTGAAGCCAAGAACATCATTTGATCCCAATGCCACACTCTTTTCCTTCTGGGAAGCAGAGAAAAGCCAATTAATACTAACAGTTGAAGTTCAGTTTGCATCCCCAAGTCTGATTAAGGTTTTCTCCAGCAATCATTTCCCACCAGAACTGATTCTCCTGGCTGTCCTCACCAGGCCTCACTATGGAGGATGTATGTGCCCCAGCTCAGTTTGTTCTTGGGTGCAAAGAGCTCCGTTGCTTGGTAGCACTCTTCACTTGCTGGACATGATCCGCAGGAATTCCTCATAATTCATCTGCCCGTCCCCATCCAGATCAGCCACCTTCAGCATCTCCTCTACTTCTTCGTTGGACAACTTTTCACCAAGGTTGGTCATGATGTGTCGCAGTTCTGCAGCACTGATATAACCATTTCCATCCTTGTCAAATACCTGGAAGGCTTTCCGGATATCTTCACAATCTCGGTTCTTCATTGCATTTTCCATCAGGGTCAAGAATTCTGGGAAGTCAATCGTACCATTTTTGTTAGTGTCCAGCTTCTTAACGATCTCCCGCAGCTCAGCTTCTGTTGGGTTCTGCCCAAGGGACCTCATGACGGTCCCAAGTTCTCTGGTGGTAATGGTCCCATCTCCATTTTTGTCAAAGAGCATAAAGGCTTCCTTGAACTCAGCAATTTCTTGTTCCGTCAGAGAGGCCATGGTCTCTTCTGTCCCACCAACTTGCTGATCACCCTCCACACCTTGTTGCTTTCCTCGGCGGTGAAGAAATGCTTTCCTTTGCTCGCAACGGGTTGCCCAAAAGGTAGGAGTGTTCCCACTGGCTTGTTGCCAGAGATGTTCTCACATCTTGCAATGAACAGGCAACACCCAAGCCTTGCTTCCACTGGAGCAAAGTGAATTGTGGAAATCTTTATTGAAGGGCCCCCACCCCTTTCATTAGGGAACCTGCTAATCTCATCTGGGCAATGCCTGAAAGAGGTTGACATTTTCTGGACATTTCATCTCACGTCTTTCTGGAACAGGGGCTTTTGCTGGTTTTCAGTGACATGCTTCCAACAGGTCTGGAGAGCATTAGATTGGAACAAAACAATAACTGATCATGGAGCTGATGACCTCCAGCTGCCTCTCTACAGCCATGGCCCAGCCTTTGATGCACATGCTACAGCCACCTGGGAATGAAGTTAGTTTGGTTCCCTGCTAGGCAAGATTCAGCGGGTGACCTAAGCTAGAGGAGGAGGTGCCAGGGTGGAACTGGTGCTGCTGCCAGTAGAACCGGTTATTGCCTGATTTAGATAACCCCTTAGGAAGTCTCAGATGACCTTTCACTGGGGCAATTGAGGGGGTGGCTGGCTGTTGAGAAGCAGAGTTGAGCAGCATGATCCATTTAATGACCCTATTTGGGAAGTCTGGAAGTTGCACTCCCACTCAACTGGAGTGTCCAAGGCTGGGGAAAGGCTATCCACATCAGGCCATCAAGAAATCTCCTAGAAGGCAACAAGCAAGGTGGTCCAGTTACTGATGGACACAATATTCCATGTAGGGTTCTTCCGCTCATGGCTTTGGTGCCATTCCCATAGGATGCTCCACCCTTGAAATCCCCGTTACCACCTTCGATAGGCCGAGAAGCTGAGTTTCTTCTCATTCAGCTATCTAATAATTCAAGTCACAAATTCTGCAAGTTGAGCTGATTGCATGCTATAGGGGCCTTCTAATGGGTGGGAACTTCTGCCAATCTCCTGCACCCCTGTGGCTCTCCTCTCTCTCTGCTTGACTGTGAAGGCATCATACGGCCCTGATGGCATTGCCCAGGCTTCAAGGATTTCCCAGGCAGACCAGTGGTTTCTTGGTTCATGTCATGGCAGAGGTTGTGGTTCAGGTCAAGGACAGATCTTGAATGGAAGAAGCATAGTTTGGCTTCCTCAATTCCTACATAATGGCTGCAGTCAAGATGAAGGCAGAAATGGATCTTGGAGGTGAAAAGTGTTTGGGATGTTGATGCTGGCAAGAGGGAAGAGCCCTTAGCTGGAGGCCTTTGAGACATTTCTCCAGGCATTTGCCACAACTTGTGGCAATCAATCCCGTGCCTTGAATATACTTTGCATGCAGAACTACTCTCTTTGATTCATGATTGCCTTTTGGTTGAGTCAAGCCACTGAATGAGCCAAGAATGCTTGCAGGTAAATAAGTGTGCTTCTCATTTTTTTAAGCTAGTGAAGACTTTTATTGCCTCCTCCCACTCCCCTTCTTTTTATTGATCTATTAAGCCTCGCCGAGGCCCTTTCATCTCAAGGGTGAGCTAAAAATTCATATGTATGTAAATAAACCAGTGATGAAGGAAATTAAGCTTTTGCCAGACTTTAAAGATGAAATGAAGGCTCAACGTGTTACTAATGTTGCCACTTCTTATTCTGCCCAAATCAGCACTAAGACATAGATAGCCAATGCCAACCTGGCGCCTTCTCATCCAGATGTGTGGACTTTAACTCCCAGAATTCTTAGCACCAGTTAACCTGGCTGCAGAATTCTGGGAAGTGATGGGAGGGAAGCACTCAGATTAGGAAAAAGTTGGCAGGGAACAACATCTAGCTTGCAAAGAGAAAGGAGAAACTATTTTGCAGCACACCCGAAGTCTCCCATTTCCACACAGCTGTGATGTGTACAGACAGGATCCAGCACTGGGGTGTTCATGCACCATGCTCAGCCATGCCAATTAAAGGCTTTGCAACTGTGTTTGTGTATCATGCTAAACTTGGTTTGTTTTAATCTTAGCTGGGGAGGGGGGCAAAGTGGTGTGTGTGTGTGTGTCTGTGTGGTTTTATGTCTAGTGCAAGCCCAACTTATTTGGTCAGTTTATGGTCCAGTGTATGGAGTGAACTCAGTCAAATGGGTTAATCCAGTAATCAGATGAAAGGTATTATGTAAAAACGAGCCCCTCAGTTTTCAGAGGACCTCAAAACTATTCAGAATTCTTTGGGGTTTATTTCTTTACATGCTTGGAGAAGGATCAGAGGGGTGGCCAAATGTCTAGAATCTTGTGACCATGGACCAGCTGCTATGAAGGAAGATTGAAGACCTCAGAGCCCGCCAGATGCTCCGCATCTTCAGAACCAGCCGATGCTAAGAGGTATGGAAAACGATCGTTCTACAAAGCTCTATCCCTGAGCTATTGACATCTCAGTGATCAGGAGGCAGGTCTTGGGGAGCAGCCCAGAGTGGCATCTGGCAGGGCAGGGACTGGTGGGCCAGGAGATTGGAATGAGGAGTTTGGCCACTGATGGTGAGCCTAAAGCAGTGAGACAGCCCACCAGACAAAAGGGATGCATGTTTTATAACTGGAAAATGACTCAGAATGTTCCTAATAGGAAAAGCCAAGGGTGCTCAGGGCCCCTGTGCCCATGTTGACATGACCTGCTCAATCACAAGCTGGGAACCACATTTTAGTGTGTGAAGACCAAGCTTGGGTGTTGCCAGATACCTCTTCTGATCTAACCCTGTATTGCAGTGTTTCTCAACCTTGGCAACTTTAAGATGGGTGGACTTCAACTCCCAGAATTCCCCAGCCAGCTGGCTGGGGAATT